GTGCTCTGTGGAGTGGGTAAGACTGTTTTTAGTGGCAGGCTAACAGTGGCCATTGACTTGCGCTAACCTAGCACCAGCAACCTCTCCAAATTCAAGGACTGGATTATTTCAAAAAGTGTCTCCACACATCTAAAGCACTCTGGCTCACTAGGAAATGAGGCCCTATGTCCAAAAATTATTAACTGTCCCTTTAATTTACATTTTTGATGTTTTTATTACACTGAAAAGCTTACGACCTTAGTATGAGCAGGCTTGCTTCTCCACAAACCTGACTATTACTGGATTTGGAGGAGGATCTTCCTCTCCTTGTCTTCATGGAAATGTTCTTCCTTTGAATATAATATTCCACAATATGACAAATACATATCTGTCTCCACTGAGCATGTTCCGAAGTATGGTATTAAGTTCTTATGTCAATCATTCAGGTGGCATGCTACCTCCAGACAGTTACACAGTGTTACTTTCAATATCGACATATTAATTGATTTTGAATATAGTATATGTTGATAAGTGTTATTTTGGTGCATATTGTGCTGTTGTGTCAATATAACAATGGTCCAGATGACAATGGAAACTAAAACAAGAACATTGCAAGTTATAGTTAGTAGTTGTAGTTGTAGCAAGCTATACAAGGTTTGTATTTGTCTCCTTAAAACAGGAAAACAGTAATAAGGAACACTAATGTAGGTGTGACTGTATGCCAAAGTCGTTGAATTAGCATTTTAAAGAAACAAGCTGGTGTCAAACAGATAAGATGGAGGTCATAATGGACAGAGAGTTGTTTCTGTAATAGGTCACTCATTTATCATTAACTGTGAATAGACTGAAGGAAGTGAGTCTATCTGTTTACAATCAACACTACCTCACTAACTATGACACTGGAAGAGGCAGTGAAAGAAAAAAGTTGGTAACATTTTCTACACCCTAAACTACACCTTCATAAGTTATAATAAAGCATGAAAAAAGTCTACAAAATACATAATAAACAAACAGTTTAATAAGAATGATTCAGGCTTAGTAATTTAATTAATAGCCTAAATCTAACTCATAAACCTGACCCCTTAATTAAGTAGTTTCAAATCAATCAATCAATCAATTTCAATAAATTACTTTTTCTTCGTGGTTTTAAAAGAGTGGAAATAGAGGCTTCATCATAAATAGTTCAAAATAAACCTTAAAAGTACAATGAATTTATCCCAGTGAATTCTTAATACGTGTCTAATTTAAATCACCATAAAAACAGCTGTTTAAAATGTGAAATATTATTTTATGCTCTAAGAAGTGGTATTGTAATATCTTGGTACTATGAACCATATAACAGCCCTCACACACTGCTCCTCCCTCATGCCCCCCACAGCTCTCCACGGTCCCCTGTCTTCACCTATTGTGCACTGAGCACTGATGCACAGCACTGAAACCAGGACTCAGCAGGAAATACCTGAGTCCATCCACAAACACAGAGAGGGCTGATAACTGCTCGAAGTGCAGTAGGAAGGGGTACTACATCCTGGTAAAAAGGAGAAAGCTTTCCAAAGTCCAAGCCAAAGTACTTTATGAGTGCCCTCATGAGCCAAGGTAAATCAGATTCTATAATTTAAATCATATAAATGGCGTCATGTAAAATAGCTTACCAAACTTTCTCTCAAACACATGATGATGGGAAGTTACTTCACTGTATACAGAAAAGCAAATTGTGTTGCTTTATAAATCCTGCCTTGTCTCCGTGTTATGTTTTTTTCTATTAAATCATTTCTGTGCTAACACTGAATAAGTTTTATTTCTCCCACCCTTTCCAGGGGAATCTTATTACAAAGTTTCTTTGTGCATTGTTATTTGGCACAGTTCGGTGTTTTATTCCTGAAATGCTCCTGCATTGCTTTGAACTAGTACAAAACACCAAATGTCTGTATGAATGTAACATAAAAGATAAGGGAAATATTATTTTTGTTGTTGTTCATTGGGCTCACTACTGCTATCATAGTGCTATAAAGTTTATGTACACATTTCATTCACCCCAAAGAGCATTTCCACAGTTGTTTGCTACTTGTATATTGTCTGTAGTTTTGTGTAGCCATGAGGTCAACAGTGATAATCTAATCCCCTTATTGTAGCCCATAAACACACTTGACACACTCACTCCATGGTTCCTCTCTGTATCCAGCTGCAGGACATCTCCAGGCTCAGCCCCTCCTCCACTGAGCTCAGAGCAGGACAGCGGAGGTGAAGATGGGCCGTCCCAGCTGCTGTCTGCCTAAACAGTTGGGTCTTCACTGGGCTGCTGGAAACAGGCTGACAGGAAAGGTAAACAGGGAGGTGTGGACAGAGGGGCTTTCAGTGGTGGTCCCATCAGTCACTTTGGCCCGCGGGGTCCAAGAGCACAACCACAGCCTGTAAACTCAAACACCCAGGAGATGTTATGGAGTGAGAGCTGACGCTGCGGACAGGCGCACATGAGGCGGAGATATATACTTTTCATTTGAGTACTTAGTCAGTGTTATTTTATATACATATTCAAAATTATAGCAATGATAAATGTTGTGGTCTTTATGTTTTGGCATTAGTAGTAGCTACATAATAGAGTGTGCAGTTAAAGTTTCACATTATTAGTAAAAACATAAGAAAATATAAACTTAGTTCAATATAATTAAATAGTATTAATGCACTATAACCTGCTTGTCTGCGTGGAGCTATTATTATTTTGTCTAGATTGTTCCATATGACTTTAAATGTATCTTTCTTGCATTTATTCATGTGTTTTTATTGAAAAAAAAAAAAAAAAAAAAAAAAAAAAAAAAAAAACATTCTTACTATATTTGTAAATCTTGAATGATTTGGCAACCTCTTCCACATCTGGAAAAAATGGCCATAGGTGACACATAGATGGTTCACACTGACCTCTAGATGTCGCTAAAGGAGTCACAGTGAATCATGCAGAGGGAACCTTCAACTGAATGTCCCAGTTCAGTTTTTCACATAATAAAATATAAAACAGTAGACCACTTTTTACACAGTTTGGTAGTTTTAGATTCTTTTTGCAGTGACCAGCTGACCTCTGTACAAAATGTCAACTATTACCCGCACATATCCCTTATGACTTATAAACCTTTCAAGATCAATTATGTTGAGCTGAGCTTTTTCAAGAAAATAAATAAATAAATAAATGACCAATATTTTGAACAAATAAACAAACCAACACATGGACCAATGAACATAGTGAACAAAGCAAAGAAACAAATGTGAAGAAACAAAAGAAAAAAAATGCTGTGAGGAAAAAATCAACTCTGGAATTTTATTCATATTTGGAAACATATTTGCACATATTTAGGAATGTAATTCTAAAATAGTAAAGCAAGACCCAAGATAACATACACCAGTTCATTTGGTCAGGACTTACATTAATGCTCAACACAGAATTCATTATCAACACTGCCCTCTGCTGGTTGGGTAAATAATCTGACGTAGAGGTAACCACACTCTTTCTGTCTATTGAGGGGTCAGTTAAAATGTCATTTTTTAAGCATAGACAGACCTTTACATTTGATATGCATTTTGTATCTACACATCCCCTGGAGTCACTTGATGACCCTCCTTTGATGAAATGTCCTCTTTTCAGACAGAGTTTTGTAAAGAGGCTCTGAGTGAAAGGTAAGACTTGGGTCAAAACAATGGGTTGAACTGTGAGACAGAACTGATATTTCTCTTGGCTCCTCTGCTCGACCTCCACGGAGAGAAAGTATCTACTGTTTCTGTTTAGCTTATAGGAGCTGTGTGCTTATAGGAGCTGTGTGCTGAAATAATGTGAGATTCAAGGTTTTCTTTCTATCTCAGGTATGAACAGGGTCTATATGTATAAACAGTATAGGGGTCATGTGCTGGTTGTCATATCACTGAGAAATTGTAATAATAATATAGTTTTACAGGTGTGAGCTTTGGATAGCGTCAGGACCCCTATATCAATTGTTTTAACACCCAGTACACAGGCTTCAGACTCCACTTTATGTGAGAGGGAATCGCGGTTTCTCAGGAGTGTCAGGATTCCAATTAGCCAAAGTACCCCCTCTCTGCCTCTCTCTCTTTCTCTCACTTCTGTCTCTCATTCAGGCAGGTCACATCACTCATTCTGCATCCATGACTCTGCTTACTTGTGAAAATACCTTCACATATTTAGTTAAGCGCTTTGTGTTGCATTTTTTTGTACGAAAAGCACTCTATAAATAAAGTTTGACTGATTGATTGAGCTGTGTTTTTTGTGTTTCTGTGCTTCTTTTTAGAAATACATGTAGGCCTAAATAAGATTCCAGACAAAACCCAGTTTCTGAGTCACCGTTGCTGCTTTGGGATCTTACTCATCTCTGACTGACCCATCACAATAGTCTAATCCTTCAGTGACCTATATTCAGTCCCACTACCCTAATGGCCCTAATGGAAGTAGGACTCAAATAGACTTGTCAGTATAGGGTATAAATTACAGACCTGAAAACGAAGTGAAAATATGTTGACAGTACATAGCAATGGTCACAGAAATGTAACACAATTAATAGTAATTAAGTAATTTTACAATAACTATACATTTGTTGGGTGACAACAAAAGTGCAAGATCCACCTGATATTCTACTACTACCTACTACTAGGTACTCCCTTAGACTCAGTCTAGCCTGATTTTCCTCAATCCAACCAATCAGATGAGCCCAATCAGAGACAGGGCCATGCCTTTACACTAACTGACCAATCAGATGAGCGCTCCAACCACCTGTCAATTTAATACAGTCAAACTAATTCAACACTTCCCAATGGTTAGCAGTCATGGAGTAATTCCCAATACACGCCCAAAATCCTTAACAGTTACGCGCATCTTTTACACTGCCCCTTTAAGAAAGCATAACCCAGTGCATTTCAGCTTGTACCATCATCACACTGGCCTTGGATTGTTTACAGCAGCGAGGGCTTAAGCGGGTTAGGGACAGACAGTGGATGGGACGGGCTCAATCCGGTGCGCTCCGTGCGAGTCGAAAATAGCCCGTGTTCTCCATCAGCAGCAGCAGTAGCAGCATTCAGCGCCGCCCTCTTTCCATCCGCAGCTCCACGTCAAACTCGGGAAATTTAAACGGGACACGTCCACGCGACCATTCACGGATACGGGCATCTCTCTACCCGGCTCCAAGGTCACTGCCTCAGCCCGGTTAAGGGGACGGGACGCACGAATCCATTCCCCGAAGGTAAGTTAGTACACGCACTAGCCAAGCGGATTTACATGGACAGCGTGGTGTATATAGGCTATTGCACGTAAAGACAGTACTGCGATATGAATCGAGGCTACATAAACAGTGCTAGTCCCTCAATGAATTCCAAATAACCTACCTACAAATGTTTTATTAGACACGTCATCCGTAATTTCTAACGGGCAGCCCAAGACACGATGAATAAATTATAAGCCTTGGGGGATTTGGAGTGAGTCAGAGCGCAGGCCTGGCATCCAGACTAGCTGCACTACAGAGGAGCATCTTACTGGGAGGAGAAATCAACCAAACCTTTGTATGATATGTGGGGATACATCATAGACAGTAGCCAACTCTTATAAGGGATACTAGTCAATGTTTAACCCCAGCTTCCCACTTAGTAAATTAGTTTTAGTTTATTTTAAGATGTTAACCTACATCTCAAGCAAAAGACTTGTAAATATATGGACATGGTGTGACATATTCCAAGGCCCATCTGATATTCTTTTATGTTGCAAATAGGGCCATCTTTCATTATTATTATTATTATTATTATTATTATTATTATTATTATTGACAGCTTTTAAGATTATTGACTTGCACCAAATGAATCCACACTTAAACTATACATACAATAAGTTAAGACCTTTTATGATTTCAAAACTAAGAGTAAACATAATACAGTAAATTGGGTTATGTAGTACCTCGGTTTCATGGTTTCATTAGATAAGAGACTATGCAGTGTCTGTCCTCTACCCCAGACAAAATTGTGTAGCTCAGAGAGGACATAGTAGCCATCTCCCTCAAGGAGGCTCTGTGTTGGTCAGCTGATGTAATAGTGTAAAAATAACTGCACTCTTTATTGTAGAGTAGAAATCCTCGGCAAATCGATCTGTGCTTACATTCTCCACATACAAAGAGCCTCTAGTGCCTCGGATTGTGGCTTTCAAATTGACACAATGAGGAGTAACAGGTCCAACCCATTAGTATCATTCTGCTTCCTATGCATCCCCTTCTGATGAGAGATAATACCTTAAATGGCTTTATTCAAGAGTCTATTGGCAATGCTGGCTTGGGGCTTTCAGTTTTATCATTTTTTTCCCCCCCAGACGACTAATTGGATTGATGTGTGTTTGTCATTTGGAGCAGGGAGTATTTCCTCTTTTATTTGAGGCTAATGCATAGGGAGAGCAGTAGTGGGTATGATAATAAAAGAGCAGATTTGTTGTGAAAAGTCATGCATGCATTATCTTATCTGAGATATTGGGTCTGCAATACCATAAATAAATCATAAATCAGCTAATATTTAGTCATTTTTCAGAAATATACTAAAACAAGTTATTTTTGAGGTGCAAGGGTATTCCACACAAATAGTGAATGCACAAAACAAAAACAAAACAAGTATAACATTTTGCCTTTGTTTGAAAATAACACTTCAGGTTTCTGTTCTTGATACAATTTTGTGATGTGATTTGATAAAAAAGTTAAATGCCGAATGACCTTTTTGAGCAGTTGTTCTATTTCAATACACTATACATGCTGTGTTATTTAGGATTGTAATATGTGTTACTTACCTAACCACTACTCTTTAGCCTGAATGGTGTCATATTACTGCTCTGACATGATAAACTACAGTGAGAATGAACAACCATTGTCCTATAAAGCAACCCATTACATGAGGGTTAATGCTACTGAACAACCCCAGACTCATATTGACCATTTAAGGGACTGGAGGCACTTGTTTGCCTTAAGTGAAGTGTAACCACTCTGATGGAGGTGATCTGTTATTGTAGTCAGAGTAGATTCCTTGTGTATGTAGAGGCCTTACACTGGCCCTTCTGTGAGGTGTGTATTCAGGTCAGATCAGATTGCAGATTGTATTTCTTGTGTCCCAGGACTATTTTGTTGTGGACACCAAACCATATTTGCCAACGGTATGTAAAAGAAGAATGTCTGAAGCCTTCTACAATTTGAATAACTAATACTCAGATTATACATATTCCAATAACTTTAAATAATAATATGCATAATCATTGATACTGGGATTGCTGAAGACTCAACAACAAGGAGTCCATGAATCACTGACCAGAATGCACATTTAGTGGCACATTCCTTTATGTTAATATCAGATTGTTTAAGCATGCATGTCTTTGTTTATTTCCGTTTGCTCTTGCTGTAGTAATAAGCTTCAGTCAGACTTAAGTAAATATTTGAAGGGCAGGACTAAGACTGACACAAACTTATCTCCTCACATCATCTACTGACAATACACTACACTACACTTGCACAAAATATTTATGAAGTCATCTAACTGTTCACATAAATCACTATTACAGGGACGGTATAGTTTAAATGTATTGTTTAAATACTTTTTTCTTTAGATGTTATCATCTTAAATCAACAAGTTTTGCTTCCACCTTACCAGTATAACAGTCATTACAACAATATTTGGCAAGGGATGGGTTCTCTTCCTACACTATGAACCTGGCTTAAAAGAGTACAGAGACAGAGAGGTGACCCACTGTTTTTTATGTAAGGTTACATTTTGTTTTTTCTGTTCTTATACTAAAATTTAAGTCTCTCACTGGCAAAGATTAAAATATTGATAACAATTCTGGTAACTGGAACAAAAATGTTGTTGAAAACAAAAAGAGGGATCGAGTCCCAATGACCTTGCTGTGACAGCCCATGGGCTCAGTTGATGGCTAACTTCATTACATGGCTGACATCTAATGCAGTTTGCTGCTATATACACATAGAGTGTGTGCTTTATGTATAGAGGCTGCTTATGGGCAAACAAAGGGACACTGTCAGATATTCTTGTTGTCAACCTTGATGGCATGTTTGGAAGTGTGCAGTGGAGGCAAAAAATTTACACATTGTCATAGGGTTGGGTGATTTTGCCTGAAAATATTATTTTTGTTCCTAAAATTTGATTTTCCGTTAGATTTTCAGTTCCCTCCTCCAATAAGATGTTTTGCAAACTCCAAAATTGTCAAAACATAAAATATTTAATTTAGTGATCATATTGAAAACATTGGCCATTGGGGGAATCTTTTATAAATGAGATAAAAGAAACTGTTTATTTAAATAGCAGAGCAAATATTTTATTTGACATCACTGATTTCAAAGCTGCATGGCCCTGTGCTGAATTGTCTTTCAAACAAATTGATTTGAACTTCAAATTTCATTAATTAATGTTATTGTTGCTCAACAATGTCACTGTATAGATGACATGACATGGAGCCTTTTTTCTTGAGTGCTGAGGCGTACCTAAGAGATGCAAACACTGTGTTCTTAAGCACCGGCTAAGCGTATAGTAGTAGAGAATGTAACTGGTGCAACATCCTGTGACCTATGAGTTCCAGCCTTGTGCTTGACTTCACCTAAATGAAACTACAAACAGTGCTTGAGTTGACCTCATGATGCAGGCGTAACAGACCAATAACAGAAATAATGACTAGCTTGTATTCCCTATTTTTGAGTTTTCTAAACAACTGAGCAAACATTATTACACTTAAATTATTACAAAATAAGCATTTTTTCCAATTTTAAGCTGCCAGTTTTGTTTGCTTTTTATAATTTTGCCTCTGCATCACACCATATTCTTAAGGGACTTGTTCAAGGGCAAGTTGCGATTAGATACTGGATAAATACTTTTGTCAGGTGAGCACTTGAAGTGTTAATAATGAACCATTTGTTAAGCAGAGGGACCAGCTCTGCATGGAGGTAACCTTAGTGCTAATCTTGCGTTGCCATAACTTTGACATTGTGCAGAGGTGGAGGTTGGAGGTGGGGTCAGGTGGTGTGACGGTGAGGTCATCAGAGGTCAGATGTCCTTTTAGAGCATTGCTACAACTGTTCACTATGCATAACTCAAGTTCAAATGTCTTGTTGACAGGATTGTTTTGTTGTGTTTACAAAATGGAAGTATATGTTTGTTATTTGTAAAGAGAATAGCTTATTTGACTTAGAATCCTAAATTTACATTCATAAGTTACTGCTAGTATTCAGTCCGTTTATAGAGATAGAAGATATCAACAGAATATGGGCCATTTGGATTACCCAGCAAGATGTATTCTCACAATATTTGTGGCAACAGTCACAACAGTCCATCGCTCAGGTTCTCAGATTTTATGAAACTACACTGAAGTGAATATATTTTGTGCAAATAAATATTAAATTCATTACATAAATTCATTAGTTCAGCTTCTACTTTATAACTTAATCTGTAGTGTATTATTGACTGCACCAGCAATTTCTTAGCACCTTCTCTCCTACCCACTTGATAGTCAATTTATATTTCCAGCAATGTTTTGATTATAAAATTCTGGTTATTGCTGTTAACATTGTCTTGTCTCTGAAATCCTGCTCAGGCAGGAAGTCCTTTAGATAAAAGTTAATGGGCTTGTTAGAAGTGATTGTGGCAGTCCAGTCACAGTGTGTTTTCATTTTCAAATATTTATTAGACTTTCCCTGTGCATTTTTATAATGTTATTCTCGCTATACTGCCCTCAGCTTTACTCTTGAACTCATCAACTTAAGCTGATTATAAGTAGTGTGTTTCTTTATGCATTGTCAATCAATCAGAAGTGGTATCTACAAGCGCTGACAGTCTGTAATCGTATTACTGTGGATTAGAGAGAATTAATGAAAATCTGGAAAAAGGTCTGCAACTTATTAAAGTGGAAATAAAGGGGGTAAAGCAAAGGATTATAAGGAATTCAGCTGCAGTGATATTAATGATGTCCTTGGTGTCCCGGGAGCTGTAGAAAAGAAATGACCTTTCAAGTTAAAGCAAAACAAAAGCCTTTGTTAATTGTTGAATTGGTAACTTGTCTCATGTAAGTAGTGACTAGTGCTTGTGACCATTTCTGAGCAACTTGATCTTAACAGAGACGACCAAGAAAAGCAATGCATCATTTATTAAAGTAGACTCAAGTGTATCAGGCTCCATGCCCTAGTGATCAGCTGCTATGTTTGTTTCTGCTAGTATTTGGAGCTTTTAATTTGGATGCATGTTGATGTATGTATATAACAAATAATTTATGAGATGTTTCTTCTTGGCAATGCTTAATCTAAGTGTGTAGTATTGTAATTAGATTTGATAGAGATGGTACTATGGACTTGCAATCATCACTTAATTTGTAATGAAATATGCTTGAAAGGGGCTTTCTTCCTTTATAGACATTCATGGCATACATTTTTCCCCATTTTTAGACAAAATTAAACATAACAGAGATTATGCGTGCTGAAATTGTGGAAATGTTGTAGCTGTACCTGTAACATTCCACAGTATATTGTTAAACTAAATAATTTCAGTTTTGGCTCATTTTGCAATTATTCATTATAAATCTGCATGGAGCCAAGCCTATGGTGGACCCTTCTTATGAAAAGTTACATAGTGCATCTTTAAATGATAATTTATCTTCCTGTGATCGGTGATATGCAGGTTGGTCTCTGTTTGGCCATAATTTAAATGTTTGGTCTAAGGTCATGTGTCCTTATTTCTTTACTGCACCATTAACATGCCTGCAGACCCATCACGCTCCTCATCAGGGTGTGTTTGCTTTGTACACAAAAATGAATGTAGAGAAGCAGTTTCCATTACTGCCTCAAAGCTCAGGCTGCGGGGAGGGTGGGGTCAAGGTGAGTCAAGAAAAGCCTTGTGTGGTAAAGATGACTTGAGCAACAATATTGCTACATCAGTGAAAATTTATTTTTTATGAAGTGGTGCTTTATTTTATTATTTACGTTAAATATTGTGCAATCACTTAGGTGGTTGTAACTGACTATATCTGTTCTTTACTTACAAATGAATGTTTAGAGGGCAAATGAATTTGAAATGAAATGAATTTTACAGACCAGAGTGCCATCAGTGATATGACCTATTTGTTTCACTATACGCAGAAGCACGTTGTTACTGTATATAGCCCCCAAGGCAAACTTATATTGTCAAAATGAGGCTAGTCAATAAATAATTACAGTGCAATATAAAGTGATCAAATTATCAATAGGTGATAATAGCGGCCCACTATAGGTGGCCAATTTCCTCATTGTTACCAGAGAGCTTATGTGAAAGTGTCTCCTATAACTACCAACTTTATGTCTTGTTTTTATTGCAGGATATTCCTGTCTCTGTTACATTGTTTCTATATGCTATTGAGTGGTGTGCCTTTGGTGCCATTCCTACATTATACAATACATTCTCCTGAGGAATATGATGTGAAAGGGTGCAGTGGCTTACCAGTCACGAGTGAGAACGGATACTGAAGGCTGATTTCCATCATTGTTATTGTAAAAATACTGTTCCTAACAAGTCCATAGTGGCTTATAATTGTTCAAATTGATCATTTAGCTGTGTAAAAGCCACATTTGTCTTTAGACCAGTGCACTACACCCTTTCCAACATCAGTGTATTTGTGTTTTTAGGTCTGACTGAAGGCTGAGGAGGTCCAACATGCCGCCCCCCACCACAGGACCCTCGGTTGTGCCCCCTCCAGACGGCGGTTGGGGCTGGGCTGTGGTCCTGGGATCCTTCATCTCCATCGGCTTCTCCTACGCCTTCCCCAAAGCCATCACCGTTTTCTTCAAAGACATTCAAATCATCTTTGATGCCTCCTACAGCCAGATTGCGTGGATCTCCTCTATCATGCTGGCTGTCATGTACGCTGCAGGTAAAAATTGCTTAACTTTTTCATAAAAAGCTGTGTGCATAAGTTTGGAAATGCAGTAGATCAAACAGACCCAATACATTTTGCTGGTGGTGGTAATTACCACTGTTCATAGTGTATGTTGTGATGCAGACATAGTCATACACTACAGCAATCTAAACTTGCAATGGAAAATCCTTTAAGACATATATTAACAAACTTGGGTACCAGTGTATTTTACAAAATTAACTGCCAAGGTTTTCAGATGTAGTTTCGCATTTTTCTCTTTTCCTTGACACTTGATCTGACTACTATAATACTTTTGTTTACAGACACAATTGATTCTGCTTTCAATCATTAAGTCACTTGTTCATAATTTAAATGTTATATTGTAATCATGTTTGTGTCCAGATGAGCACTGAACCATCACTAAAACCATGAGGGATTACAAATCAGATTTTGTTTGTGTTTTTAGGTCCTGTGGGTTTTGCATAATTCATTTTTAAAAATAAAACAATTCAGCTGTCGTCATTCTCAATGAGGCCAACTTTCTATAATAACAGAGTGACACAGTGGCCCAGATGTTCGTGTTTCCCCCTGAATATGGTCCACTGAGGTCAGCCTGGTGGTATTGTGGCTGCACTGCTTTGGCTGCAGACCAGTGGCTCGGTGCCCACCATCTGCCAGGGCTCTAATTCACTGTTAGCGCATCCTTCACCATCTGCAGAACACGGTGGGATAAAGGAGTTTCAAATCTTCATTCAGGACATTTAATGAATGGATGTTTGCAGCTCATTCTGCCTCTCGACTTCATTGGTGTGAATTTGTGTTCTTTCTGGTCTACATTATTCTACAAGCTACTACAAATATGCCAATAAAACAGAACCCATATTAGCACTATAGGCACTAATGGTTTTATATTTGACCTTGAAAAGATGAAGAACAGTCAAAATACTTTCAAATACTCTCAATTGCATCAAATCGCATTTATATACCTTTCTGTATTAACCAAATTGGAAACGACTACATTGTTAAAGCATGCTGGTAGTAGTAATAGTGGTATGGTAGTACATACACTTCCATATAACCACAATGATTTTGATTGCATTTTGAGTTGCAATTAAGACACAATTGTCTTTGTATATAAAATAACTTAAAAACATATCTGAGCATAAAAATATGCTGAATTTCACATAGCCATACACTAGTTCAAGCTGCTGATCTATTTTCTAGGAACCATTTATAAGTTTACTGTCTGGTTCATTGACATGATGTAATAACAGCAGTACAGTGTTAGTACATGTGGTCATGAGGTCTCTTGTTACCCATTCATTCATATTGATCACACACATCATCAGCTATTCATTAAACAGCTGCATTGTGTTCTTCCACTCACACTAACCGCTGTTTCACATGGTTCTTACTCCCTGTGGTCAACTTGGGCTTTATCATAATGTCCTTACAGAAACCACTAATGACAAATTACAGTAGAGCAGATCCAAAGAACTATAAGTACATGTATTTTAATTATTTAAGTACTAGAGATTGACCTACCGGTATATGTTTTTTTTTTTTTTTTTTTTTTTCATGGCTGATTCTGTCGATTGTTTAGAATCTTGGATAACTGATGGCCTATAAGCTCTTAATATTTTTGGCCCCTATAGTGGGTCGTTTTGGATTCTTTTCCTCAAATTATGTAATTTAAATGTACTACAAAAAGTGTTAAAAGTGTTAAATTAAAGTGTTAATATAAAGTTTTATGTGTATTTTTTGGCAGCTAATCACCAAAACAAAATATTGGAGATTTATGGCCGATAGCTGATATGCTATAAAGTTCAAATTTTGGTTTATCTCTAATAAGTACACACAATTTATATGTTTTTAGTTATGTGCAATTTATTACTTACATCATACTACAGCGTATTGAGCCCTCCACATTGTAATTCATTTTTCACTTCCAGTGGTCTACATAGAATCCAGTCCAGAGTGGAGGGAGAAGGTCCAAAAATGTCTTTTTTCAGTTGTGGTCATTAAGATAATGAAAAAGATACTGGGAATGTAGACCAAAATGATAAAAAAAAAAAAAACTATATAATTTCATAAGAAGCACTTCAATTGCTACAGACCATAACCAATATATGACTTCATAATATATTACGAAATAAGATATAATAAAAATATAAATATAGTAATATGTTTTTAGTGAGATGACAAGATATAATTCTAGATATATTTTTTCACATATTCAACATAAAAGTTATAAAGTTATAAAATTATGTATTACTTGAGAACAATGCTGTAAAATAGCTGTAGTTTTAAGTGTTTACATCCCCAAGTCCACAAACATTTGAAAATAACTTACGTCATCTCAATTACAAAATTTCACTGTATTTGCAGATCACCAGTCACTGGACCAACTTCACAACTGCAGCTCACATTAGTGTCTTATAGCTGAAAACCCATAACTTAATGCGTCATTCCCATTTGGGAAGGAGGTGGATATATTTAGTTAGGGTTTTTGTACTGTGTGTAATGAAGTCCATGCTGTATCTGGCCTGGAGACGATAAGCCCTGTTCAGTGGAGCTAATATGGCTGCTGTGGGGCTGCTCATCATGGACACTCGATCACACTGTGCCCCTGAGACTCCGGATCTCAATACTGGCATGGCAAATGAGGAAAGTTTCCTGAAGGTCGTCAAGATATTAATGCCCCAAAAATTAAGCCGCATAACTTCTCATTCAATTTTTTTATCATACTTTTTATTACTGTTCTTTAGTTTACTGTCAAAAACTTCAAAATATTAGCCATGGATTCCAGGATAGATTTTAAACAAAAATATAAATAACATTAAAGTGACTTAATGTTTATTAATGTTAATTATATTTGGCTGAATTTACTTTTTGTAATAAATGCACTGGATTTATATAGCATCTTTCTAGAAACCCAAAGTGCTTTACACAGTATTACCATCAATGCCCACACCCACACCACCACCACCACACACACCCACACCTCCACATTCATTCTAGGCAGTGTGGGTAAAGTGTCTTGCCTAAGGACACAACAACAGAGACAATGTTGTCAATTAAAATAAGCTTTTTGGGGAATAAGTAAATTTCTTAATAAAATAGACGTTACATCTGCAGAAACATGATACAAATTTAAACTTCCCCTTGCTAAATAAGAGTTATGTTAATATTTAACTCATAAATTAATGGTGGTTGACAATACGCTAATTTTGTGCTCACTGTCACTAACTTTAAACTTAAACAGAAGTGGCACTGGACTATGTGTGTGTTTAATTATTGAGATGCTGCAGAAGGAACTATTAATAGAAGCTAGACTCCCATGGCTGCAACTCTAACCCTATTAAATCATTATGGCCCACACGCTACCCTGTTGTAAACACAGAACATCCACTGATTTGATGTGTCTGCTTTTTCCAGGTCCTATCAGCAGTATCATGGTCAACACATACGGCTGTCGGCCTATAGTCATGATGGGAGGCTGTCTCTGTGCTGTTGGAATGATTTCAGCCTCCTTCTGCACCAGTGTCATACAGCTCTATCTGTGCATTGGCGTTATCGGTGGTAAGTCCACATAATCCAATAAGGGGCTAATTGGACACTTGTGTTCTTATGTACCATTTAAAACAAAACTATTCCTATGGACTGTGTGTGGGGAAGCTGGCCCAAGTGGTCGAAGTAAGAGTCCAGTGCAAAAAATTTACCTTCACCAGACAAAATCTTTATTGCGTCCTCCGTGTCGTGGGCAAAATTAAATACATATTTACAATAATAACTGTGCTTAACTAAAACAAAAGCAACAGAAAATAACGCAACAAAAGAAAATAACCCACAGGCACCCGGCTGCACTGATGGTGAACTCCTCACTGATTACACTGCCTCTACTTTTATACCGCCCAGAGAGGAAGTCCCTCCTCCTGGGTTTGCACCAACTCGCAGGTTAAATTCTTGCAACTTCCCTGTATTCCTGGTGTGCTGCATTAGTTTATTCTCAGAGGCCTAAATCCCCCTTTAAACTAAACTGTGCTCCAACTCAACTAGAAACACTAAAACCAAAATCCACGGTGGTCAGTTTCCAACACAAAGTCTTTACCAATGAGTGTCCAGAGCCCATTTAATAGCCAGGGCTTCCTTCTCGATTGTAGATTACTTTTTCTCTCTTGGAAAGAGTTTACGACTAATGTATTGAATTGGAAGTTGGTTACCCTCCTCCCCTTGCAATAACACCGCCCCCAGTCCCACACCCGACGCATCAGTCTGTACAGTAAAAGGCAGTTCGAAATCTGGACACTGCAAAACTGGTTACTGACACAAGCAGTCTCTCAGATCATTAAAAGCATGTACAGTTTCAGGAGTCCATTGTACCTTTACCGGGCTATTCTTACGGGTCATGTCAGATAACGGGGCGGACCTAGTTGCAAAGTCTGGGATCAGTCGTCGGTACCATCCAACTAACCCCAAGAAGGATCTCAGCCTCCTCTTGGTGTTGGGCAATGGGGTAGCAGAAATGGCTTCAACCTTCCCAACCTGAGGATGGATACCCCCAGCTCCAATCACATAGCCCAAGTACTGCACCTCAGGCTTGGCGATGTGGCACTTCTTGCCGTTAATGACAAGACCTGCCTCCTGGATCTGCCTGAAGACATCAGACAGATGCTGCAGGTGCTCCTCCCACGACTGGCTAAAGATGACGATGTCGTCGATGTATGCCACAGCGTAGTCCTCAGCTCCTCTTAGCACCTCGTCAACCAGCCTTTGAAACGTGGCCGGTGCTCCGTGTAACCCAAAGGGCATCATTCAGAACCTGAATAGTCCACTGGGCACTCGAAAGGTTGTCAGATCTCTTGAGGCTTCATCAAGGGGCACTTGCCAATACCCCTTGCAGAGGTCTAGGGTTGTAAAGTAGCTTGCATGACCGAACCACTCGATCAGTTCATCTACCCTCGGCATTGGGTAGGGGTCAAAAGCAGACACAGCATTCAACTTTGAAAAGTTGACACAGAATCTGAGCCTTGGATCTTCTTTTTTGGGAACCAAGACTACAGGGCTGCACCACTCACTGCGCGATGGTTCAATAATCCCATTTTCCAATGTCTCCTCTACTTCTCTCTTTAACTCTGGGGCAAGTTTAGCTGAAATGCGGCAAGTGGTATCTCTGATTGGCTGCTGTTCTGGTGAGCGTAGGCGGATCTGGTGCTGGATGAGGTGAGTATATCCAGGTCTTGCACTAAAAAGTTCATTGGTCATATAGATTTGAAGGTCCTGTTGTTGCTCTGTAGTGAGATGACTTAGGTCAAGGAACACTAGTGTCTCTGCTGGTGAAGGGAAGTACTGCTCCACAAGCTCGTCCTCGTCGATGACCAGGGCCAGAAGGGATAGCTGGTCTGGCCTGTCAACCCACTCTTTAAGCAGATTGATGTGGAATATTTGATCCTTTTTCCGGCGTTCTGCCATAAAAAGTTCATAGGTGACTGGTCCTGTTTTTTGATGGATCTCGTATGGGCCTTGCCATTTGGCTGAAAGTCCACTTTCTGATGTTGGCAATAACAGCAGGACTTTCTGGCAAACCTGGAACGCTCTTCTTTTGGATGCTTTGTCATAAACATGTTTTTGTCTCTGTTGTGCTTGCGCCAAGTTGTCACAGGCAAGCTCTTTAAATTGTTCCAGTTTGTCTCTCATTTTCAGTACATAAGAAAGTTCATTACATCCTTGCTCTGGCGTTGGCCCCTCCCATGCCTCCTTCAGGACATCCAGAGGCCCTCGAACAGAATGTCCATAAAGAAGCTGGAATGGTGAAAATCCGGTAGAGGTTTGCGGCACTTCCCGGTAAGCAAACAAAAGAAATGGAAGCCACTGATTCCAATCTGCTCCCGAATCAGCAACAAACTTCCTCAGCATAGATTTGAGTGTCTTACTGAAGCGCTCGACGAGCCCATCAGTCTGTGGATGATATGGACTTGTCTTGATTCCTTGAATTCCCAGGAGATTGTAGACTTGTTTCAGCAGAGTCGAGGTGAAGTTGGTGCCCTGGTCTGTGATGATCTCTCTTGGGATACCCACTCTGGAGAAGAGCTGGATGAGGCAGGTGACGATCTGGCGTGCTTTGATCTTTTTCAGCGGAAACGCCTCCGGGTATCTAGTGGCATAGTCCGACACCACCAGGATATACCGATGTCCAGCACTGCTCCGCTCCAGTGGTCCCAAGATGTCCATGGCAATGCGAGAGAAAGGGGTGTCAATAATGGGCATGGTAATGAGGGGTGCCCTATCTCCCTTTCTACTTGGGGCTGTTAACTGACATTCAGGACATTACTGACAGTACTTTACAGTATCTGAGTATTGCTGGGGACAGTAAAACCTAGGAACCATTCTAGAAAATGTTTTAGCTTGGCCTAAGTGTCCTGCCCATGGAACTGAATGACTAAGATTAAGGATGGTAGGTCTCAATGTTTGTGGGACTACTAACTGGTCACCAATTTCACTTCGTCTGTAAAGTATATCACCCTTTACAACAAAAACTTCTTTCCCTCGTGTTCCTTTTGTCGTTTCTGGTACGCATTTACTGTACAAGTTAGCTAGAGTTGGGTCTTGTTTTTGTAATCTTGCAACATTGCTACAAATTGGCAACAAATCAGTCTCAATTGGTGTTAATATTTTTTCCTCCAATCTAGTTCCTTTGACTTTATCTTGTCTTTTTTGTCTTTTACTTTTCCTGACTTTACCCTTGTTAGCATTTACCATCTCTGCATTAGCGAAAGGTAACTCCTCCCATCCTGTTCTCTGCCTGGTTACTTTCTGATGAGTTTGAGATCTGGTAACTGCCATTAAACAATCATTTGCATTAGATTTAGCTTCGGTAGATTGTTTAGCAATTAGCTCAGGTAGAATTGGGACGTCTAGGCCTAATACAATTTGATAAGGCAGCTGTTCTAATATGCCTACAGAGAGTGCAAAGGGCTGACCTTCAACCTGAACAGTAACTTCTGCAATGGGATAACTTACCCTGTCACCATGGATACATACAATATCGACTGTCCCTCCGCAAAAAATTACATCTTTGGGTAAGCTGTCCTGTCTGACCAGTGTGCGGTCACTGCCTGAATCTAAAAGAGCGATACAAGGTTTGTCACCTATAACCAGCCCCATGGTTAGCTCCTCCTCATGACCCTCCCAGCTGTCTACAATAGCAGGTAAGTTGGACACACTACACAAGTAGTTTTTACTAGACCTACTGTTAGCTTTGGGACACTGTGCTTTAAAATGACCTGTTTGACCACATAAATGACACGCATAGTTTGGTCTATCTCTGGTGTCTGGTCTAGGTGCATATTGTGGGGCACTAGGTCTAAAGTGTCTGGATCTAGATTCAGGGGCAACTGTCTTACCCGATTGGGCGGGTGGATGGGTCTTTGGGGCCAGTAATGTCTTGGAGGGCCGACGAGCAGCGAGGAAAGCTTCAGCCATGTCTGCAGCTTCTTTAGAAGTCTTTGGATCTCTTTCTTTAATCCAAGTTCCAGGATGATTGTATCTCCGATTTGCTCTTTGGTTTTGGTCTTTGGGTCCATCTATTTGTTGTACAGCTCCTTCAGTCGGACCTGCAGCTCCTGCGGTGTCTCCTCTTCTCCCAGCTCCGATGAGCGGAATCTCAGCCGGTAAGTCTCTGTGCTGATCTCCAACTTTTGCAAAACAGCACGTTTCACTTTAGTATAGTTCATAGTGTCATCAATGTCCATAGCAACATAGGCTGAACGTACTTTGCCAGTTAGGAGTGGTGCAAGGCGGAGAGCCCACTCCTCATATGGCCACTGGCATGCATGTGCAATTCTTTCAAATGTGCACAAATAATGTTCAATGTCCTCACCATCAGTGTAGGGTTGCATTTTAGGGCCCTTCCAGTTATAATTTCTCATGGTGCTGGATTGCCTGGAATACATATGGTCATTATGAGAGCTCTGGGTTGGAAGTTCCTCTGCTCTCAGGTCTTCAGGACCATCCATTTGTGCCACCCGATGTTGTTGCACCGATGTTGGAAATGTCTCTGCGAATTTTATTCCATTGCTCATCTTGTTGCTGCATGAGTCAGTGTAGTAGACTTGACAGTTCATCCATACTGTTGACCTGTGCTTCCGGTTCTCCACCGACTGCCCCCTGCTGGTTGTCCGGTGGATCTGTTCCTGCGTCAGCACAAGCCTTCATCGGGTTTTGTCTGGTGGACATCATCTTCACTGCCTCCCACTGGCCTGGATGCCGCCACTGCCACCAAATGTGGGGAAGCTGGCCCAAGTGGTCCCGTGCAAAAAATTTACCTTCACCAAACAAAATCTTTATTGCGTCCTCCGTGTCGTGGGCAAAATTAAATACATATTTACAATAATAACTGTGCTTAACTAAAACAAAAGCAACAGAAAATAACGCAACAAAAGAAAATAACCCACAGGCACCCGGCTGCACTGATGGTGAACTCCTCACTGATTACACTGCCTCTACTTTTATACCACCCAGAGAGGAAGTCCCTCCCCCTGGGTTTGCACCAACTCGCAGGTAAAATTCTTGCAACTTCCCTGTATTCCTGGTGTGCTGCATTAGTTTATTCTCAGAGGCCTAAATCCCCCTTTAAACTAAACTGTGCTCCAACTCAACTAGAAACACTAAAACCAAAATTCTACAAACCAATTTGATAAAACAAAAAGAATCGAAACTGAGGCTTCCCTCCACATGGTCTGGGCCAACACCTCCCCCTGAACCTATAAATATGGTTGCCGAAAGACACGCCTCATCTTTTGTTCCCAGACCATGTGGGGTCACAGGTAAGGCGGTAAGTTAAACAAATGAATAGATATAACCAAATAAAATGAATTTAAAGTAACTGTGTGAATGTGATCAATTAAACTAAACAAAGTTCTGAGTTTTTATGCACACACAACATTCATGTTCCCAAATGTCCTGATATATCTGAGATAAGATTGTGCCCCCCCCCCCCCATGAATTCATATTTGGGTTGGACACAAAAGTGATAAGTCCTGGCAAGTTGTACCTCTTGAGAATTAAAAAGTGTTAGGCTAAAATTGTGTATTTTATGTGTTATGTGTGTATAAAGTAACTAATGTACCCCTGATGTGTTGCAGGACTTGGTTTAGCATTCAATCTGCAGCCAGCTCTGACGATGATTGGGAAATATTTCTATAAGAAGCGGCCCATTGCTAATGGCCTGGCCATGGCTGGCAGTCCTGTTTTCCTCAGTACACTGGCTCCACTCAACCAGTTCCTCTTCAACAGATTCGGCTGGAGAGGCAGTTTCCTGATCTTAGGCGGGCTGCTGCTAAATTGCTGTGTGGCCGGCTCTCTCATGAGACCTCTGGGACCCCCACCGGGTAAAGCCAAAAAAGAGGAGGTAGCTAGCATCACCACCACAGAAAAGCGCACAGCCTGGCAAACTATCAACAAATATCTAGATTTATCCCTGTTCAAACATCGGGGCTTTCTTATTTATCTATCCGGCAACTGCATCATGTTTTTGGGCTTTTTTGCTCCTATTGTCTTTCTTGCAGCTTATGCTAAAGACATGGGTGTGGATGAGTACAGTGCTGCCTTCCTGCTTTCAATCCTGGCTTTTGTAGACATGTTTGCCAGACCATCCATGGGACTAGTTGCCAACTCGCGATGGATTCGACCCAAAATTCAATACTTCTTCAGCTTTGCTGTACTGTATAATGGAGTTTGCCACATCCTGTGTCCATTTGCAGAGGACTACACAGGTTTAGTAATTTACTCTATATTCTTTGGCTTTGCCTTTGGAATGGTCAGCTCAGTGTTGTTCGAGACACTGATGGACCTGGTTGGGGCTCCAAGATTTTCCAGTGCTGTGGGACTCACCACCATAGTGGAGTGCTGCCCCGTCCTGATTGGGCCACCTCTGGCAGGTACTGTTCAGTAAGCTTCTCATTTTGCAATGATACACATATCTGAATGTATGACATTAAAATATGCCCTGTTATTTGTGCTCTACAGGTAAACTGGTGGACATTACCAAAAACTACAAGTACATGTATTTCTGCTGTGGAAGTGTTGTCATTGTGGCCAGTATTTGGCTTTTCATTGGAAACTTCATAAACTACAGATTGTTGGACCGGGAACGTAAGGCTGAGATGTACAAGCGGACTGAGACAGAGGATCCAGACAGAGCCCAGGATAAAAAAGAAGCTGATGGTGAAGCACAGCAGTCATTACAGGAGCCAGTTGAGCAAAAGGAGGAGGAGCCTATGCAGCGGGAAACAAACATTTAGAAGATTTTGGATCAAAATAAGCTCTGATTTAACTTATGTATGGGGTCGCACCATTCTGCTCCCTCTGAACTTGGGTTAAACTGCCAAACAGTGGTGTTAATGGACAGCTTAAGCATGTTTTCTTTGTGAAATGTACTGGAAACATTGATCAAGATGAAATGTATTTTAAGCCTTGTGAAGAAAATTAGCACTACTAACTACATTTGTTCTTAACACAGTATCTTCATATCAGACCATTTCTGCCATAAACTAAACAAACACAAAGCTGCATTCACAATCAGGATATGGTGGTGAAAGGTGTTTAAGTACAAAGAGCACCACTCAACACCTGTTACATTTCACAGACTTCACAGGTAGAAATTGCATGCAATTGCACTGCAAAAAGGCATAGTCTGCCTTGTGCAGCAGTCAAGATTCCCACTGTGTTTGAGGTGATATTCATCAAAGAAACAGTATATTCCTTTCACAGACAATCATACCTTTATTAACTATAACAATGCATTTGGGCAAATGGGCTAGGTAATTGACAATGGAATTTTCTCTTTGCAAAGTCTTCAATATATAAGCACCAGTAGGTGCTTTGTAATAGAATAGATAATATTATGCATACATGTATTCATGTTTGTAGTCTAATCTTTCGCTAGACAAAATGGGTTGGAAACACGGCTTTCCGGCTCATGCTTTATGTACCAGCAAATAGTTTGTTGGATCACCTTACATTCTTGTTGCTGTGATTATAGAAAAGAAAATGTACTATGAATTCATAAGCAGTCTATCAAAGCATATCCAATACGATTGCATCCTTGTAAACTTGTCTGCCCAGTTCTAACAAAGTTGTGGAGATATGAGCAGCTCTGTGGTATGTCTAATAGTGCTCAAGTTAATGTAATTAAGACTAAAGAACAAACAAGAAACTGCAAAGTAATTCAATGCTGGCAGCTGCTCAAACTACAAATTTCCCTGGTTGCCCAGTCCTGCTGGAGAAACAGACTTCTAATGACTTGGTGATCATGTTATATTTGCAGCGTTAGCAGTCCCTCCGTACTGAAAATGGGTGAACCATCTGATGTAAGGTGTCAGGCAACAGCAAAAACACCCTAATTGCTCTGTGTTTAATATGGCAGTAGGGTTGGTTAAAATTCCCACCTCTATAAATGAGGAACATATGTTTCCAAAATCCTGGTGCTTGAGTATTACGCCGCCCTCAGGAGCCCTATAACGTGGAGTAACATGGAAAATGTAATAATATCAATCATGAATGCTTTCTGTGATGTTTAATTTTGCACTCATGTATCCTGCACTTTCCAGAAATTATGGCCATACACTTCAAACTATACATCTTATAAAACTGCTGCAACTCAATGAATCGAATTATAGTTGAATGTAATTTCCTCTATGGGCCTTAATAAGGTGTAAATGACCAAAACCATCCATGTAATAGTGTTTTTTGTTCTGCCAACAGAGCCCACAAGCAATATTTTCCCTCATTGTTGATGCGTATGTGCAAGGAATCACTAGCGCACCAGTCTTCTGTGACTCATTGCCTTAAATGTAAACCTACTACTTCTACTGAGACTCTTGATAGTGTCATACACTTTGTGTGAATTGCAAACCACGTTGTTGAAAGTGCTTTTTTAGTAGTGCAGTTGATTAACATATCACTTTACTTGTTACCCTAAAGCTTAAAGTCTAGAGAAGTTGTCATAGCTTTCAACCACTGCTTCCTGCATACTGCACAAAAGTCTTTGTGCCCAATTGAACTATATTGTCTAGCTGGCGTATACAATGGATGGGTCCTAGTGATGCTCTAAATGAATATTATGTAAATGTCAGACTTATTTCCATCACAGCAGTAATAGAGCATTCACACATTTTTTCTCAAAACCCAAAGCTTTGGATAAAAGCCAACACACTGACCAAAAACACCATGTGACAGATGTACTCACAAAGCCAATCTCATTTTAATACCTAATGTCATTTTCAAAGCAATCATGAACAATGCTGTTGTATTCTTCTCTCATTTCCATGTGTGTATTGTATTCAGCAAATGTCCTTCCATGTGGCAGATGCTTCATATTGTCATGCTGTTTAAATGAGCCAAAATACAAGAATGTGTGCTTTAAATTGCTCTAGATTTATAATATTTTGCACCAAGTGGTTACCAGCCTTTCATATTTTTTGACAATTTTACAGTGTGCTGCAAAAGTCCTGCACTGACACAAATGTGAAGTACTTTCACTAATTCACTGTAAATGAGGGTCATACACTGCTGTACAATCACTCTGTACCACAAGAACACTGCCCTCTACTGGCTCCAGAAAAGACTACCAACACTAATACACTAGTATATTTATTTAGAATTAGTATTTTCAAATGCCTCTCCTCATTTTCAAGTAAATCATTAATTGTCATTTTCTATTTAGACTGATGGTAGCCTAAAGACTTGGTTATTTTGATTTTGTTTATGCCAAGAAAAAAAAAACTAAATTATAAGAATGATATAGATTGAATGATATAGATAATATTAATGTATTACTTACATTTGTCTGAATTAGTTGAAATGCACCTATAGTCTTAGTAGGTTTCGCATTATATCCTGGTATGAGGAGAGTGAACTAGAAATTATTTTTGTGTATTGGTCAAGTTGTACATATGGCATACTGTATTATTTTTTGCAAATTGAAACTATTAAACTAATTTAAAGCTGGATGAGGTTTATTTTGTGTATATACATACATGATATGTATATGATATACAGAATGTATAATGTAGACTTATATATATATATATATATATATATATATATAGTGCATGTATACTCACCTTTTTTCTTTGCCACGAGTTCAATGTAATGAAACTTGAATCTGGCCTGGAGCCATCTTTCTTGGTGATGGGATTTTTCTTTGGAGCACTTAGCAAAAAGTTTTGTTTTCTTATTAAATTGACTATAAATTGAAGTTTAGCCAATATCAACTTTTTGTAACATTGGAAAGAACTGATTGCTGTTTAGTAAATGATGTCTGCGATCTGTTTTTAAGCCGGGGTCTAACATTTTAACAGTTTGCTAAATGAAATCTCTCATCCTGAACTAATTTACATTACTTCACATGCTGTGTAAATTAAACTAATAGGTGGTTGAAGGACTGTCACTAACAAGCTAACCGTGCCTTACTGTGCTCTATAGTATACGAATATGTAGATATATAAATATATATTAATTCATTGTTGCATGTAATTCTATGTTTAACACTGCCCATAATGGCAAAACTGTGTCTGACACTGTATAGCATTTGTTTGTTAGTTTGATTTGTTTTTATTTTTATTTATTATTCCAATGTGCTTCTGAGCTGAGGGAAAAAAATAATAATAATAACTTTTCTGTCTTAATTATGTTTATCACTACCTCTGCAACTTAACAGAGCAAAGGACTATACCTCATTGGTATCACTGTATTTGTAGCTCTATAATACACATTATATCATCTTTTACTGTAGCTTAATAAATGATATATTGGAAACATCTGATGCTGTGTCTTAATTGATTTCTGAGGAATTATTTTTGATTATTTGTTTGGGGAGTTTAGATAAATAAAACTGTGCTCTAATTTTTCAAGGTGAGACAATATGTGCAATCAGGTGCTAATGATAGTAGTAGTAGTAGTAGTAGATAGTAGTAATAACATCTCCATGCAGACAGTCAGGTGGTGAAAAGTTACATAGTGTACCTTTAACTGTATTTTGGAGTGCTAAGAGTGCTTTTGACTTAAAATAAGTAGAGTTTCTCATGACCAAAAACTGGAAGGAGCTGAGAAGAGAGAGGGCCAAGGCAGATACATGGCTATATGTGGCTCTGGCATTAAGTGGTTCCTTTCTGTTACTGCACCAAAGAGGGTAAAGAATAATAAGTGGTATCAGACAATATTCCATACATATCATCACATTTATATTTACTATTTGATTGGTCTTACTTGATTATTTTAAACAAGACTACTGGAGGAAAACAGAGGAATATTATATATTTATTACTTTCATAATGCTTCTGTGTTTATGATACTTTGACACTGTATACTTTCATCTAAAAACATGTCTTTTATAATATATTCCAACAATAAAAAGCTATAATTGCAATATTTTCCAGTGATCAGCACAAGCTACTGTGTTTTTGCATAATTATTCTTGATACCATATGGGCCGGTGCTCTGTGATACTTGTCAACACAAATGCATAGTGTTTTTCCTTGTATCAGCTCCATATGGATGGACACTTTAATCTGTTTCTTGTTTGTTTCAGCTCAAGCTGTGTACAGAACCACAGCAAACTATTTCTGCTGATTAGACCACAAATAGAAAACTCAAAGAAAAGGTGAACACTAAACTTTAACATTAACAATTCACATAAGAGTACAGAATTAGAACAAACAAGATGCTATGCAATAGGCAGAGGTTCAGGTTATATTGGCTGCTGTACTCATCTTGTAACTGTTTAAATATAGAATTACAATATACACAAATAGCACTTGAAGTGTCTTGCCCAAGGGGGAACTGATCTGACAACTTTCAATGGGTTTTATTTACATTTCTGCTTACCTAGCGTAACTGTAAATAAAGGTGACAGCAAAAAAATAAAATAAAATAATGTTGTGTCCACCAAACTAACATACTGTTCCCTTAGAATTATAGGTTTCTATTGAATTTTGATTTAGGTGACTTTGAGCCATTTATATATTTGTGTTACCTTATGTGCACTTCGATCTATCTATTGTAGGATTTTAATTTATTTATTTATTTATTCTTACATAGGGGTATATGAGCAAAAACTTTCCCTGTTCATATTGTGAGATCACATCTTCAAGTATGTGTGGTCCAGCTTTTCATAAAAAATAATTTTGCCGAGAGGAAAATTGTTCTTAAAATATGTCTATGATGTACATTCTCATAACCTGATTCCATACTATGCACTATGTCATTAATTCTACCCAGCAACCAACCAGTCTGAACTACATTTTAAAGATTCCCATCCGCAGACCCCGCCCCCTGGTTCCATTAGCATGCAGGCTTTTGAGTGGAGTGTGTCTGAGCGT